CTTTATTTGCCAACTTGGATAAGATTGTAAAGAGCTCTGCTATTTTGGCTTCTAATACAAGCTCTATATCCATTACTCGTCTAGCATCTTCAACGAGCCGACCCTGCCAGGTTTGCTTCACTTTGGCTGTTGATCAATTATATGCTGAACGCTGGCTTATGAAACTTATTGAAAGCAGAACTACTTTATTGAAATTCAAATATGTGTGTTGAAGTTCAGGAAAATGCCAAGATTCAAACAATTGCATGCTCACTTCCTTTTTTAAATCCTTCAGAAAGAAGATGTGGGGAATTTATCTGTATCTTGTTTTCTTTCCTTTTGGACTTATGGAATCTCAACATCTAGGCACTCCTCCCCAAACTGGTAGGATTTGTTGTGGTTTGTATTATGGTTGCACTTTAGTTTGTATGTCCCATCTTTTGTAGTCACCACCTGTACACATAATTCAGTTTGCTTTGTGATGAGATTGCCTATATATCGGTGGAACAACAGATAGAATATTATAATATTGGAATGTGAAGGAATTACTTTTTGTTAAGTGAATAAAGTGGGTGGTAAAGTTGAAGGTGTAAGGCTCCTCGCTGCTAATCAGAAGACATGGGACTAACAAGACTTTTTTTAATGGCTGCTAAAAACAACTGTTGGAATGTCACATGGATATGGATAAGGGTGAAGAAAGACGTTTGCAGAACGATGGTCGCAGACTCGCAGTAACTGCTAAGCAACCTTATTTCTCCAAGTGATGGTTTGAAGAAGGATTAATTATCTCATAAAGAAGTTGAGAGTTCTATTCGTGAATAGAACAGAATTATCCCTCTTTACTTTTGTTGCATATTATGTAGAACTCACTGGTCAATTCAATTTGATAGCTTTTTGGCTCCTAAAACACCGCTAGTGGAGGGTTTTAATCATTGTAGGCCACATAAAAATGTATTTTCTTCTTTCTCGTGTGTGTATACATGTGTGTCTCATATATATTTGTTTTTTTCTTCTATCTCCTAAATTCTGGTACTTATTAGGGAATATCAAATCCTCAACACAAGCTGACAACGAATTAGACACTTGTAATCATTTGCCTTTCCTGATATGCTCTCTCTATCTGTCTCTGTGCCTCTTTAAAGTAAACTCAAGTTACGTGTACCCATCGACTGCTTAGGGTTCATATAGCTTTTCTGTTTTTTATGTTTTCATGGGCAGGTGATCGGCATGCACTTTATGAACCCTCCACCTATTATGAAGCTGGTTGAGATTATTCGGGGTGCAGATACATCAGAAGACACGTATTGTGCCACTAAATGCCTGGCAGAGAGGTAACTGTTAGGAAAACCCTGCGACTAGGATTTACAAAGATTTGCATATTTCCTCAGACATTGTTAAAGAAATTTTCTCCCTGAAATATTTACGCTTTCAGATTAACAGTCACATATAATCTAGCTACATGTCCTACGGGTATAACCATTTGCCTGAGTTTCACCGCGACCAAACACAATCTCATTATGTAGCTGCAAAGCTCCACTTTTACACAATAGATTTGAGCTCTTTCCCAAGTTGTCTTGGCCCAAAAGTATCTTAAGGGGCTCATATTCTTCATGGAGGGTTGCGCTGTGATGGTTTTAAGAACTAAGATTTACAATTGGCTTATCTTAGATACTTGGCTTAGAGAACCTCCCATCCACTTGTTGCTGTCTCAAGTCTTTAAGCTTCTTCAGATTGAATATAAAATTTTTCTTTAGGTGGATATTTCATGAAATTGAGTCTCATGTCATTTCCTATATTTTATTTTCATTTAGATTGCCATATCGGAATGAAATGGGAGGATTCATATATGTAACACAGATAGTTTGAAATAGAGACATAGTTGATTGATTGACAGATGCAGCCAAAAAACGAGAAAGGATCCTTGTTACGTATCCTCTGTCACAAGATGCGAGATTGTTTAGTCACCTGAACATCTCTACATAAGTTGTTTTATAATGCTTCATAAGCAGCATGGACAAAAATTATACAGTATCTGTTATTTCTAATGTATGAGATGAATTAAAAGAAAGGCAAAAGAATTTATCTTATCCTCTACTTGCAAAAGACTAGTCTCTTATCCTCTGGAAAGGGGAAGAAATCTGCAACTAATTTCTGACTATCTATTATTTGCAGGTTTGGTAAGACAGTTATCTGTTCTCAGGATTATTCTGGCTTCATTGTAAACCGAATTTTGATGCCTATGATTAATGAAGCCTTTCATACACTTTATACCGGAGTTGCAACAAAAGAAGACATCGATACAGGAATGAAGCTGGGAACCAACCATCCTATGGGTCCTTTGGAACTTGCAGATTTTATTGGACTGGATGTTTGTTTGTCGATCATGAAAGTTCTTCATGTCGGTCTAGGGGACGATAAGTATGCGCCGTGCCCTCTCCTTGTGCAGTATGTTGATGCTGGTAGACTTGGTAAAAAGCGAGGCATCGGTGTATATGATTACCGTAGTGCTGCTGCAGACACAGGAAAATCTCCTCGACTTTGATAGCCTTTGCACTTGGAGTTTGTGAAACAACTGCGACTTGTTGAAGTAAGATCCTACGCTGAAATTAAAAAGGGGCACAAAAAAGGTAAAATTAAACTTGGTTTCTTCGCGGCATTCCCCTCAATGAAGGCTTATGGAACAATGATAATCACTTCAATTTGTGGTCATCTTTGAAATGATTATGGTTTGATAATAGTGAATGATGATATCCATCCATATTTCATCCGTTTATTAGGTTACTGATTCTCTAAGCTCAACGGTTAAAAATCGTCTTCGATGTTGTTACACAAAGGAGCTACCAATTATTTAAATCAATCTGCTGAATTTTAATTATCAACAAAATATGACTTTCAACTTTGAGCAGTTATTCAACCTTGTGGATGCCGAGCTTCACTAGTACGAAAAAGGTCGTATATGACGGGGGGAGAAATGGTGGAACACCTGTACACATGGTGTACAAAGAAAACTGATAAACCACACCAAATCGATAATTCGAGTCAAACCGGAAAAAAAATCCGATGTGGTTTGGTTTGATTTGGTTTGGTATTGAAAAATAAAATCCAACCATAATTGGCTTGGTTTTATTTTAACTTAAAAAAGTCAAACCGAAACTAAACCAACCCGATAGTACATTTATATAATTTTAAAAAATATTTTATACATATAAATATTTATTGTAATATAATTTATAAATATTTCTTAAACTTTTTCACAGTTTTATCTTTTAACGTATTATTTCAAGTTTAGACATAACATTCTTGAATGGTAAATACATTTTATAGCCCACAAATGTAGTAACTCAAACAAAATTCAAATCAATACTAATGCTAACAAAAGAAATTCAATTCAATACTAGGAATGACGATAGTGTTGGATAATTAATTTAGTTTTACATTGGTTTATAATGAAAATGCATAACTTAGTTTATCTTTTTCTTTCGTGCTTAGTTATGTAATTAATATTAGTACTTATTAGCTATACTTATTTTAGCATGACCTATATAATATTTTTAGATTATGTTAATTTTTATTATGGCTTATTAATTAACAATATTTGTTTTATGTAATTTTATTATTTTATCTTTATTATTGAATATTTTAGTATAATGCTATGACTTATCTCATATTATTGTGTTAGTTTCTTAGAAAATACATTATATAGTTGTATTTTACTAGGACTTAAGAAATATTTGGAGCACAAGTTACATATTTTATGCTATGAAGAGTTTACCAGGAAAAGAAAATCCGAAAATCCGAAAAAAACCCGAGATTGAAAAATCCGAGTTTGTTATTTTGGTTTGGTTTATAAATTTAAAAATCCGACATTAGTTTGATTTGATAATTGAAAAATCCGAACGAACCCCACCTATATACACCCCTACTTGTACACCATGGTAAAAGAAAGCACGGTATTTAATCGAATACTGTCGCTAATAGTCCGTTCCATACATGATGGCTTAATTATATCGAGTTATATATTTACATTTCTTAAATTTGATTGAGGTTGTATGGTTGGGAGTAAATAATCACAAATTTTTTCCCGCATTGGATTAATTGGTATATTTATTTTTTCATCAATTCTAATTTTTCTTTCTGTATGTACACTCTTTTTTCCTCATATTTTTGATAATTTCACTCTCTAATTTCAATTCAGATTCTTTGAATTAGCTATTTTTTGTCATATTTGATTAATCCATATATCAGAAAGTAAGTTATTTTGTGTCTCATTTTTTTTTAATGAAGAAATTTCAAGGGCAGTCAATTAGATGGACAATGAGTCCACCCATCTACCTTTTTTTTTACTTAAATATCATGCTTTTATTCATGGAGAGTTCAAAATAGTGATGTGAGCCTAACCTCGTCATGTGTTGTATTCTTAGCACAAGACCAAAGTCGTGTGGGTTTCTTTTGTGTCTCATTATGATACGAGGCTTTATGAAAATTTAAGAATCTTTTAATATATTTTGGGTTTAGGCCACACAATTCTATTAGCCGCCCCCGAAACTTCCACCTGATATTGACAAGCAATAATGTAGCAACTAACAACTAATACAAAAAATACCGGATTGTATAGTTTGTGAAGATTTCATAATATAGTGGATTATATGGATCGGAGTTGAGATGCATGGGTATTGTGACTAGTCTTTTCCATGATAATCTCATTCAAAGTATTCAATCGTCCTATTTTATGTGACACATTTTTATTTTTAATCTATTCCAAGGAGAACTATATCTTTTTATAGTTAGAAATATCTCTAAGTATTTCTAATTTTATCTTTAATGACATAAATTTATAATCACAAAAATTGTCTATGACATTTTTCAAAACTTTTTATATTTTTTCTTAAATTAACACCCCTCAAATAAAATGGCAAGGAAGGGGTATATAACAAACACTGTGTGTCTCTACAAGAAATCTTGTATATATCCAACAATATTTATTTAGTGACAATATTAGAGATAAATATCGGAAACAATTATTTTTTTCTTGACTTTTAAAATAAATTTTTCGTTAAACATTGACTTTGATGAACAATATAAAAAATGTTTTAACTTTTAACTTTAACGTCAAATTATTTGTTGGCAATTAGTGACACTCACAAGAAACGATCATAATTTTCTTAAATTTATTTTATGATCAATTCTAATACTGCATTGATTTAAAAAGTTTGAGATCCTACGTACGACTTTACCAGTTCTCTTATTCTAATGCCAATCTAATCTAATATTCAAATAAATATTTACTATTTATCATTAACGATAACGACTACACCTCTTCATATGAATAAATAATTTTGTAAATCACTTTTTTGAGAAATCCTAGTGCCCCAAACTTGAGGAACCCCCAATTTGAAGCTTTAAAAATGTAAAAATTAAACCCATTAGTTATCCATTGCTTATCCATTTTCTAAATGTATAATATGATTCTTATTCATATTTGACCCATTTTTAAAAAATTCATTATCCAACTCATTTTTTAGTAGATGATATAGGTGTTTAACTATTTTTTTAAAACCATTTTGACCCTCCTAGTCTCTAAATTCCCTCCCTCTTCCCTCCAATTCCGCTCACCTAAATTCCTCCCACCGTAACTCATCATCGCCGGGCGCCGGCAGATACTTTGGTGTCTCTACTCGTCGCTCTATCTCTACTTGTTTATATTGGCAAGCGTGGTTATCACATTCTGGAATTGAGTTTCCTCCTGATTTCGCAAGCATAGTCGTCTCTTTCTTTTAGAGGTGCATCCCGTATTTTAAGTTTATCGGTTCTCGACCATAACATTTTTTGCTTACTGAGTTTTGAATAGATTATTTATACATATTAAGTGATTTTTTTAACACTGTTTATCCTCGAAATTGGATAATAATTAAATTTATAATGTGGATTTAAGAATACGTGATTTCACTTTATACCGATTGATAAATATGAAGATTAAAGATAGAATTATACAATAAAATAAATCAAATCAGTATTTGAGTAGAACTCAACCTTTCAGTTAGAGTATCCTCGAACTGACTGACGCAAGGACAATAAGAACACAATAAGCTGAAGAACAAGAGTGTGAGCGAGGAAGAAAATTATATTGCTTTTTTATCCGTTGTCCCCCTATAACTGGTTAGAACCCCTCTTTATACAGTAGATGAATTCTATATATGGTACAATTCTAATTACAGAAGGAAATTCCATGATTAACTAAACAACCGTTCTTGATTCGATCCGTTATGAGATTTCAGCCATGATTTTTGACCAGTCACGGATATCTCGCATTTTCGTTATTATGCTATTTTCGATATTGCTCGATGCCTGTCTCGTTTGATCTCGATTGCTGTCGGCCTCGATCTTGGCAAGTGCCTCGAATCTTGATCTCGGTACCTTGTCTTCGTGCCTCGATCCGATCCACTTCGGAGTCGTCCTTCGATGCAAACTCCCGGTCTCGATCAAACAATAAAATCTGGTGGGCCCGGTTTTGACCGTATACAGATAGTCCCCTTGTTGTTTTGGAGTGTAATGACAAGAAACGAATTAAGCCTTCAATTTTCTACCTCGATCTGTCATGACGTCATCCATGTGACGTAAGCGATGGAAGTGACTGAAACATCCCGTCTGTACAATTTCCTAGGTATTAAATGCGCGTCAGTCGATGGTCGGCCATCGCCAATATTGAACCGTCGTTGTGAAATTTATAAATAGCCCCTCTTTCCACCATTTCGAACTTTTACTTTTAGATTCTTAATCTTCAAAGCTTTTTATATCTTCTAACTTCTTCATCGGCAAATCCACGATTTTCACTGCTACCATCTTCTCAAAACACCGAATATTATCATCTTCATCTATCTTTAACTTCAAATCCATAAAAATGGCAAAAACATCAAAGACTGTTCCTCAAAAGGAAAACGCTTCTTCATCGCGACCGGCCGGCGACAAAACACCGGTGGAGCCACGACCTGAAGAGTGTGTTCCCTGGGCTTTATCAGTTGGAGGAGGAACATTGCATTTTTAGCAGGGGTTGGAATTGGTACATTCTCAGCGGGAGTAGTAGAATCAGGAGGTGTTGTGGTTGGGGGAATGCCTTCACCCCTCGGCTGCTCACTTGTAACATCAGGTATCTCATTAACTGCCACACTTGGGGTAGCATTGGCCCTTTGGCCACTCCTTTTCTTCTTCTTAGGCGTCATCTACTAAAAATAAGAACAATGCACGAGTTAAAAGGAGGAACAAACTTACAATCAGCTCTATCGCACGATTTAGAATATCAAGGAAGGGTGACATTCCTAAATGTCCAAGTAGCCTCCTAATTATAGATGTGGTCGATAACACGCCGATAAGAAGGACTCTACTAGACATGGCTCTGAGATATCTTAGGACACTTTAAAACCTTAGGCTTTAATACCAAGCTTGCCATGCCCTAACCTTAGGAAGCACGACCGGTGCTCAACCAAATATCTTAGTCGAGCTAGCCTACTTTTTTCTTTCTACCCAATCTTCCCATGAAATCGAGAGGATGAATATCAAGAGTTAGACAAACGAGAGAATAACATGTACAACAACAATTCCATTACTTGTATAAACTTATTTACGATTTTCAAAATATTACATGTTCATAGTTTAAGAGTAGAAATATGTTTGGCAGCTACAACATTTCTAGTTTTGCTTTCTCAAATCAAAATACTACCCACACTATGTCTATCGAGCCTCTAAATGGAACATGAGAGTAGTATGAAAGAACCGGTGACAAGTCACAAGCTATACCTCAAAATACAATGTACAAGGATCAAAGATACAGGGTCCCGATAGGAAGTGGGGCTTACCAAAATCCACTGAGAAGAGGGTATTATGCTACTA